CTACGCGCTCATCTCAGACAAATGGAACTACAACAACAAAAACTAAACAGCAGTCACATCAACAATGTTTCATAAAGACTGATATGCAGCTGATTTTGCGAACAAATTGTAATTATATAAAATGCAGCTGTAAATTTGTCTGCGTTGTCTCGGCGATCTAGCTGAAGTAACAGTGATTGTGCAAGTTCTTTCGTAACTCCCCATGTCTCCTCTAGTCTTGTAGATCTCGCCTGTCTCGTTTCGTTTCCTCTCGTTTTCTTTTTCATGGATTTTGCCTGGAAGTTCGCTCATGTCACTTGTTTGATTCTTTTTTTTTCCTCTCAATTTGTTACGAGAAAACATCACTACACTTGCATTTAGTCAAAGCTCTTTTAATTGGGATTCCTTGCCAAAGGGCTCGGGAAATATTAAAAGAATGAGATYTGTCTTCCGAATATCTATAGGTGCTATTCGACAACCCATTTTCATTATGATGATAATTAAACCCTTGTTAAGAACCTGGTGATGATCGTCCTTTCTGATTGTCACTGTCACAGTCGTCATCTTCCTCTCCGGGCCCTGTCGAGGTTGAGCATCCAGCTGCTGCGGGCTTTCGCCGGATACTTTGCCGCTGTAAAACAAACATGAAAATAATGCCAGGTTATAATATAATACCAATCACCTTTGCAGATTAGTAAGAATTGTTTAGCACTTCTCCGAAAACAATATTACATGAAAAGCCAGCTTGCGCTACCTGCTAAAGTTGTCCCAAATTTCGGCTTTACCATTTTTATTCAAGTATGATTTGCGAAAGTTTTTCAACTTTATTTGAAGTTTATTTTCAAACAAGCCGGTGTGGCATGGGAAGCAGCTTGATGTTTCCATAGCACTCTTTTTTTTTTTTTGACAGGCCTGTTTATTTATTTTCTTACTTTTGATATTTTATTGCCATATTTTACGTTAACGTTTGAGTTATATTTTTATATTGTAAAGACGTTTTAGGATTGATTTGCTTTGTTGATTTGCATTTCATTTGAGTCATCTTTGGTGATATGATTTCTTTCTCTTTACCATGTTAAAAAATCAGGAACTTCCCAGATCACCTCAGGTTGCTTAATTGGCGCTCTACAAACTCTCTAACTATGA